CTAACTTAACCTAACCTAACCTAACCTAATCTAACCTAACCTGACCTAACCTAACCTAATCCACGGGTTAAATTTTCATTAAATCTTCCATCCACGGGGCTTCGCAGCCGTGGACGCAATGACAGCTAACAACGCAGGCAGTGACGGGGTCACTCAAGAATTCGGAGATGGCGGGACAGATTTGGGTTCGGAGATGGCGGAACGCGGAGATGGTGGGAGCACACGAAATTAATCAATTAAATTCGTCCGTTTCTTGAGCCTCCCATCGTAACTAATTGTAAATATAAATATTAAATCAAAATAAAATTTGCTAACATAAAAAATGTACACGTAGAAACATACGAAGACAAACTATCTTTAAGAAAATATTTTTTTCATGGGACATAAACTAATATTTTGGCAATGATGTCGAAAGTAAATCCTCAGTAAAATAGTAGACATATGTGGGATACAAACAGAAATATAATTGCAAATTTGTACCGCCAGAATATAAGAGTGGAAAATTCGGATCTCGTGACAGTCTTGTTTATCAAGAGGGAATAACTTAGGTTTAACGTCGTCGTGGGACACATGAAACTACTGCACTATAGCATACGCTTGTAAGAAGCTGTGCTGTTAAATTGAAGTTGGAGTCAAAATTGTTATTTGAATTTGCTAAGCTGTGGTAGGATTTATTATAATTATATTATGTTGCGTTTAACTTTACTATGTTGAAATGAATTCTGTATGGATGAATCTAATAAGAGTTTTACTTGCTGGGCTATGGTTTTCGAAGAGATGTCTGTCAGTGTGATTGTGTGTGTCTGTGTGTGTGTTTGTGTGTGTCTGTATGTGTGGATTGGTCCGATTTTGATGAAACTTGGTACGTAGCTACTAATCCATGGTATCTAAGTGTTTTTATTTTTTTTCGAGAAAACAAATATCTTTGAAAATGGCCTAAGCGAATTTGATAAAAATTTAGTATGTTATAATAAGTTCTGAACAAAATGGTACAACCCCCATAGCTGAACAAATTACGGCTTAAAACTTTTTTTATTTTCCCATAAAATAATGGATAATCGGATTTTTGAAAATGATCGTTTTAGTGAAAATTAGTACGTTATGTTTCTTATAATTAAAATAGTGCCACCTCCTACGAAAACTCCCACAAAATTCATTGCTGTAAAATTCACGCTTCAAAAGTGAATGCAACTATATGATTCTCCCTATAAAATATCATATAATCCAGCTTGTGATAATTGGAAAAAAGAATCGCTGATACCATTTATTTAATAAAGGTGTAATTGGTCCTAACTCCTCAAGACTTACAGACATACTGAAAATAGAAGTGTTACAACTATGTAAGTTTTACTACGTAAATGTAACTAGTTCGGCCGCTTAGAAAGCGACCTCCTATAGCATTGGTTTAGCATTAGCGCGCAGGTCGCTTTCTAAGCGGCCGAACTATAATTTGGCGCACCATAGCGTTGTTGATGAAGACATAACCTAAGCGTTCTTCCTCAAATAACGCACATAACCTCAGATCCACTATTTGCAATTTTCTTTTGGAGGGAACGCCCATTTTTGCGGGAACAGTTGTACTAGCCAGACGATTCTTCGACACTCCAAATAAAAAATATTCAGTCTCCGCTCTGGCCATAAATTATTAAAAGAGGGTGGTTGATTAGATTGGTCTGCACGATTGTTCGGAAGTAGTCGTGCAATATTTGTAGGCTTTCTTCTCCTCCTACTGCTGTTGAGAATCACTTCTTGTAATGATTTAATGAACGCTCTTATGAATTTACCGCAATATACACTCCGTGTGTTGGGTTTAAAACAATGTAATTGCCGTAAGACAGTGTGTATATGATCCTTTTTCACTTTCCTCTATCCATAGTCAATATTTTCGAGATAGAGTTTTGTTTGGAAATATACGTTATGGGTCTTCTTGAACCCTCCAAAAATGGGGTTCGAAGTGATGTCTGTATGTGTAATACATGCTACACGACTTGTGGTTCGATTTTGAAGTAATTTGGTATACACTTATCTATGGTATCTCCAAGATAAAAAAATATCAAATGATTTTGATAAAAATTTATTATGTTTACCGTTTAACACTAAGCGAAATGGCACGACCCCAATGCTGTAAAAACCAATGCTGTTCGATAGTTTTGCAATTTATGTGGTTTTCCCTATTAAATACCAGTGTAACTATTGTTAGTTACTCCTAACGCTTACCTATTATTAAAATTGTTGACAAGCGAGTGGGAAGAAGAAGAAGTATGTGTCCTGCTGATACAGTTCATCTGAGTTTAATCATAGACTAAACACTACGACACTACTAACACCCAAACTATGTTCTGTTTGTGATAGTGTTCATAGATATACTTTTAATAAATAATTTTATTCTGTGAAGAAACTACCTTTCCTATGTACTTCTTATGGAATAGATGCATATGTTTGGACATTTTACTCATACCTACTGAACACTTTAAACTATATTTTGACATGGAATTTAAATTAAATTAAGCTCTAAATTAAATTGAGTTACAAAAATGAAATGTTGATTAAGGCCGGAATAAAGCGATTCCCAAGGCTCGGAGGTGGGGGTCTCGAGAGGCCAGGCAGAGTCTAAGACGTTGACTTCAATCATCTTGTTGAATTTCGATTTTACATCCCCTTTGTCGTATAACGGCGGGATTGCCTCGAGGATCAACAATGCAAATAAGAAATCGGGACTTTAAACGGTTCCACTCGTTTGCCTCAATTGATAAAACAATCGGACGCAACTGAAATATTTGTTACAAAACTGGTTTTGTTTATGTACTCGCTAACTATTTTAGTTTAGTTAATGGTTTTAATGGCAATTAACTAAGTTTCAGTTAATTTTTGCATATTTTTGGTCGAGTTTTCGACTACTAGACGACCTCTGGTTTTAATTAATACACACTAGTACTCTCTGGTCCTGAACTTCATATTTCTTGGCTTCAGTTTTATACATTACCTGGGCAGTCCATTCTCTTGTCTAAGGGCACGGAAGGTTTTCCCCGTGCATCGCTCGGTCATCTTGTTATAGTTAAAACTGCTTCCACACGATACGACGTTTTTTGCACGCCTTTTAGCACACGTTGTACCTATTTTTGCAACGAGTTTTGAAACCCAAATGTGCTTATACATACATAAAGTATTAATGAGTGTTATGTTATGAATAACCAATTATATACATTTTAATGTGGTGATTAAAGTGTTAAGTAATTTTTCTTTCCAGAACCCCCAAGTGCTTGTGTAGTTTAAGACTAAAACAAAAACTAAGACCTCATAACCTTGCCGCTATACAATCATAACGAATCTTTTGTTTCAATTACAAAACATTTCAGAGGTAGGGACAAAAAAAGCTACTTGCACAAACCTTAACACCCAAGTTTGAGCTGGCGAGTCATTTATTCACGAATACGCTGCGTTGCTCCTCATGAAAAAATTAAACCTCAATTCTCACAGACGGGGTTATCGCTTTCGTCGTCTCGCAGCCCTACAGTGAAGGGATGGTTGTACTGGTGGGAGGGGGGGGGGGGGGGGTTAGCTAGGACATTGAGCATGTCAAACTCCAACTATCCATTTACCGGAGTATTTGATGGCCTCGCGACAGATCACGCGAGCTAATAGATTCTCCGTCCGAGAAACTCGACCTGCCAACTCTACGGGAAATTCGCGTGACTACGGCCACGTGTTGCGAAATATTCATAGGGTCAGACTGACAAAGGAAACTTCAACTTTTTAATGTTTGCTTTCCTTGATCTTTCGTTTTTTGTACCTCAATAGTAAATTGTCAAACGACCCTCCTACCACACTGTGATGTGTCGACATTCGTATCTTTCTAATGATACGTTAAGTTTTTAAGGGAGTTTATTCATCGCTATACTCCTACCGGCCTCGTATTAGTTTTCCCCCTCATACCACTTTGCTGACTGTGATATGTAGGAACTAACCCCAACAGTACCTCTTCACAGGTATTTAATCCCTGTCTGTTTCTCCCTCACTTCTGAGTTTTCCCTTGTTATTTGTTACTGATCCCTGAGATGTACTGCGTGTAGGGATTTATACCAACTGTGTCGCTACTTGTGTTTCTACCTCGCAGGACCCTCCTACGATACAGATATACTTCGTAGGGATTTCTCCCTAACATTTTCCCTCAACACAAGTATCCGATTCCCAAGTCACCCCCATGTCTCCTAAGGTATTCTTTCCCTCTTTCTCATTCCTTAGTAGTTCGTCATGTAGGAGGTTTTATTCCACAGTATACCACTGAACAGGTATTACTCCTTCGTTACAGATCTATTGGTGTTATATTTATTCTCCATAATACGTATCCATGTTTACCACCTTCCTATCCCCAACTGTAACCTCACTACAGTATGTGCGTTTTCCCCTTTTGTGTGGCTCTCCCAACAAAGCTTCTCATGTAAGAATTTCCCCACACTACAGGTAAATCCTCCCTTGCCATACACCCCTAAGTTAGGATTTATCTCATACTACTGGTCATTTCTTACTTGCCATACCCCCCGAAGTGGTGTGCCATGTAGAGATCTATTCCTCATTACGGGTAATTTCTCCCTTGCTATACACCCTAGGTTGTGTGCCATGAATGATTTATTCCACACTACAGGTAAATCCTCCCTTGCCATACACCCCTAAGCTGGGATTCATCCCATACTACTGGTAATTTCTCCCTTTGCTATACCCTCCTAGGTTGTGTATTATGAAGGGATTTATCCCACACTACAGGTAAATCCTCCCTTGGTATACACCTCCAAGTTGTGTATCATGTAGGGATTTATTCCACACTACAGGTAAATCGTCCCTTGCTATACCCCCCTAGGTTGTGTATCATCTAGGCATTTATCCCACACTACTGGTAATTTCTCCCTTGCTATACACCCCTAGGTTGTGTATCATGTAGGCATTTATCCCTACACTACAGGTGTGTTTATTCCCTTACTACAGGTATTTCTCCCTTGTTGCAGGGTGCTGGGGGCGGTGGTGGCGCAGGCGCACGACAGTCTGCTCGTCGTCGTCACGTCGTGTGGTTGAGTAGTCAGTGTCGCGCGGTTCGCGGCTATGGTGGCGGTTATGTGTGTGTCGCTGTGAGTGTCCTGTGCTTGTGGTAGGCCTACACCATGGACTGGAGACCAGTGGCTCTGCTGGTCACGCTGGCCGCCGCAGCGTTCTCCGCATGGCAGGACGTCGTCAGGCCAAAGATGTTCGTTCAAATAGGTGAGTACATAGACAACCTAGCAGTTCCTATACAAAAGTGCAAAACTGTCTTGGAATAATGGTTAAACATTTTTTTTTGTTGATGGGTTTTGTTTTTATTGTTTTAGATGTAGGTCGGGTTTACGTTGTAAATTGATCTTATTGTTTAGTGTGTGTTTGTTTTGTTTTATTCATTGATACTATGTATGCTATTTTATTCCATGATCGGAAATTAATAGATTTTGATCGTTTCATGAATGATAAAATCTCTCAAGTCCGCTTAAATAATGTTTCGACCCTAAAATCTACGTGTTACGGAAATCCTTGAATCTTTCGTCCAGTTTGGTGTGATTATGTTTGAATGCGAAATATTTTCTCATATTTTTCCAAAAGGGGTCCAATTCCCTATTTTGCTAACCACACTTGACCAATGTGAATAATTTAATCTAGGGTTTCCCTTTCCTTCGAATTTATAACTGATTACTATTGAAAAAAAGAAAACAGAAACAAATGGCATCAGGAAAATTGTTGTTGTGTCTATTATATTGCAAAAGTTTCCATATTCGATCACGTCCGTGTAAAAATTAAGTTAAGGTAGTTTTTTAGTGTGTAAAGAACTTGTTAAATTAAGTTCACATTTCGTTGGAATCTTCAGAAAACCTAGTTTAGCAATAGCTAAATACAAAGTTTAAATCCTAATGGAGGTTTTCTATGCCGTTTAAATAGTTGTTTCATAAAAGAATTGAACCGTTTGCGTTACACAGAACGTCCACATACATCGCCGTTGCATCAGGTACTTTTATTATAAAATACATGTTTTCAATAACACTTCTAAATTGACTCGAATTGTTTTGAAGTAGTGTGTGAATTAAGATTCCCGTAAAATTAAGGCGTGGATTAAGTTTTTCAAAACACCATTTGAGTTGTAACTGCGTTTTACTTTGTCCACCTATTAGGTGGATTATCGGCGAAACTGGCCGGTGTATGGTGTTTAACTCGACAAACCGCTAATGTTCTGTAACTTTTTCAATTACTATAAACGTCGTGCACCACAATTAAATAGGCCCTATCGCATTAGATTCACGATAAACGGCCTATGAAGCACAATTATTAATCGCGCATTTGGTTTGAAAATGATTAAGAATAAGCTTTGCAATACCCATTTTTGAAAATTTGATAATTAACAAGGATATATACAGTCTAAATACTCGAGGGCGGAAGATCATTACTTATCATCATACTTAGAGATCTTTAGTTCTTAAAGCCGCAAGACGAGCTTTTGGATATTAATATTACACTTAGTTCACAATATTTAGGTGGTTTTAGGGGAAGAAATGTATCACATTAGCAACATACAAATTCAAAAAAAGTGGTGGGTGAGCTTCTTCTCAAACCGCCTTATTTTTGTGATCGAAGTACGGTGTTCTGAACAATAGGCCAATTACGGGCTCAAAATGCAATCTTGACGGTTAGGTATATTTTAAAACTATAATCTTAACTATGATTTTATATCGCATTAGTTATAGAAAAATCTCTTAGGTTGTTTTTTGTCGTATAATATTCAAATCAAAACAAACATCTCGTCAAAAATGGATTGATATCATATTAACAGATGTTCTTATCAGAAATACAGTATAATACGTTTCTGCCAAATTATGGTTTGTAAATTGGAATTTATTTGTTGCTAAGCATATAGGTACCTTCAAACTTGTGTGTTACGATAAGTAAGATTTGCCTACCCAAGTTATGCAATAAATAGACACGATTTTTGTTCTACAGTTTTGTTTGTACGTTTGAAGTTGCCAAATACAGTAATTCTCTTTATCATTATTCTCAAAAATGTTCTTTCCCTCTTTTGGTGTACCGGTACCAAATTAAAAACATGTAGACCAACGAAGTAAGTGGTATCTAGATGCAGAAACAATTAATAGAGCTTATATTTACTTCAAATTATGAACATCTAAGTTTAAATAAAATATTGTTCCTAGCTAAATCACAATGAATTGGCTTACTAACGTTTTACAAAGTTAAAAGTGCAACCGTATGCAACATTTAATAATGGAAATTGGTCGATGTGAACAATTTGTAACGCTCACTTACTTGTTCTGCTAACTTTCATGTTAGATGTTACCATTTGTAACTGACATTACCACACAGTTGCCAGTGTATTTATTTTATGCAACATGCAACTAATTGGTTCGAATTATTTTCATATTAAACGCCACCATTAATAAAAGAATTTCGTTACTTACATGGTTCAAGTAAGTTAAAAAAAATTTGAAAATTCATATTCATTTGTTTATAAGTATATGTGTTTCATTGTATCGGTATTTATTAGTAGTATACAAATGATGAATGATATTTATTAGATTTATAATATTTGAGTGATAATTTTTATCGAATTTACGATATTTAAATCCCCCTCCCTCCCACCTAAAAGAATATTATGAGTATTTAGATTTGAAATATAATCATTGCTAAAGGACTAAAAAATTTGTAAACTAATAGAAAATTCATGATTGCATGGTTAGTTTATTTTAATATTTACGGGTTTCTTCATTTTACATAATATATTGACACTGGAAAATTAAATCAGCCCCTATTTATCAACAAACTATAGGCCTAAATGGTATTGCTTTGTATAATATGAATTTAGTCTACATTTTAGGGCTACAGACCCACAACATTAACCCTTTTTCACGGTTGTTTTGGGCTTGTTAGCAAACTCAAACATACCTTTAAATAAAAAAATATTTTCACGTTATTGTAATTTGTAGAAAAATAATACAGTAGTTGGTTCTAACTATTTTGTAATGACTATCTCTAAGGTAATACTTGTATTCATATTTAAACTTATGTTAATTTTAAAAGTAATATCAGTTTAGCTTGTGAAACAAATATTTTTTTGTGTTAAAGAGACATTTTTACTATATCAGTTCTAACAGATATGCACTGAATAAGATCACAGCCTGTGATGGGCTTACATTTTTTAACGCAAATAATTTAATCTCCTAAGAGAAGGATTAACACGGCCTTTTTGTTACGTTGCGAACAATATTCTATTATTATTTATAAATTATTTTGACATACGTTTTTCGGATTAATTATAAGTAAGTGTGAGATAACTTAAGGATTATAACGTAGGGTAATATTAAAACTTGGTGTGTTTTGTGTGGTGTTTTTGTACCTTTGGGGGTTCGGCAATTATGAATATTTTTATACACAATTATTTTACCAATGAAAAACAGTTAATTAATTACTATACCTAATCAGTAATCAAGCTATGTAAGGACCGTAATGTTTATTTGACTTTCAGTTGTCAGATTACTTGGGGTCCGATACATTACTGTAATTAAACTTCTTGTCCAAGTCTTGACAGGTTAGGCTAGTAATAATTAATTATGTAGCCTACCTTCTACAGTGTAAACGTCTTGTAGACCGTACACACTTTTAAAGGTTGCTACGTCATGTTGATCAGAATCAATTCATAAAATATTTATTTGGCTTATATATATATTTTAGTTGCAAAAAAGAATCGACCAAATAGAAGTTGTTAAAGATGTTTACAGTCAGTAAAAGCGAGTGAAGAATCGAGTCAGAAAATGAGTTTCAAAATTATTGGAGACCATATGAACGGACGAAATGTATAGAGAACTCAAGAAGCGAAATTAAAAAGGTATCGAATATAAAATTTTCGATTTTTTAGCGTTTTTTGAAGGAAACTACTAAGCGAACACAGGTTTTTTTTACTATGTAATGTTGGCATTTTGTTGTGTCATCCATAATTTGTAGCCTATTGACAAATAGTATCCAAACCTTCAACCCAAGCAGTCCATCTATCTCAGAGAAAAATTCCAAATCACTGTAATAACAACTACTATTACTTTTGTTGCTCGAAAACGACCATTGTCAAGACATTCTACTTACTACCTTCTCTCTTGTAATACTTCATAGTTTGTGTCTGCTTTGTCAACATTGTCTGATAAACTGTTAAACTGTTTGTGTTGTTATCTGTCGCTTTGCTATACAATTAAAATAAAACAACTATTCAGATGTGATCCTTGCACTCATGGTTTTCAATCTTATTAGATTGTGGCTTTATCTAAACCGGTGTTTATATATAGTGTGTAAACAATTACAAGTCACTGATAAATAAAGACTTGGTCTTTAATAGTAGAAGTTGACAATGATACCATTAAAATTATGTTTAAAAAAGAGGTTAGGCCTATGATACAGGGAGAAGAAAGTTGTCACGAAAAAAGAAACGCAAACCTGACCGCAGACCACGAACCAAATTTTCATTACAATTTGATATTTGACCGTAATGAAGGCGGTCAGATGTAATTAAGAAGCTGCCTGGAGCGAGTTCATTAAACCAATAAAATGGCGGCCATTCCGAATGAAAGGTTGGCTTTGACGGTTTGTTTGCAGACGAAACTCATCGCTGATGTCTAGAGCCTGAGGTGGCAGATTTGTTTGTACATTACGAAAATTGTACGCCGCAAATGTTGAATTTGGCAACTCCTTGTTGGTTTATTAGTTCTCGGCTGAAGGCTGGAACTGATATAATGTCGGTGTTGAGTGGGTTTGTGTTTCATCATTCGGAGAATGAGTTAAATAATTTGTCTCGATGCGATTGTGGCTCAAATTAGTCTCCGGAATCCAATAATGAACCGAACTGTAGACTGATTCAAGTAGTTGAAAGTTAAACGCATGTTGGATTATAGTCTGTCTGATGGAACCTGTCATCTGACCCTAGGTATTGAGGTGGCCAATGGTTTAAGGTCCAGGTCTGTCTGATGGAACCTGTCATCTGGCCCTACGTATTGAGGTGGCCAATGCAGGTCCAGGGCAGTTCCAAGCATCGATGTCTAAAGTATACATCGATGGTCCCAGGTAGATAGATGGCCAGGTTTCATCATACAGACTATATTGACAAGCACGATTTCAAAGCGAGAGGGACGGGGTTGATTCCCAATATCCAAGTTAAACTAAGGATATAATCATTTCCATAAACGTGT